TTTCCAATTTTTTTTACCTGTAAATTTCATTCACTAATAAGTACATAATATTATATAGGTAGTTAGTTAGATCGGTATTTTTTATGCAAAACTGCAATAGTTATCTTTATTCTTTTGTAACACGACAAATTTACTCTATAACGTTTTTTTATAGTACAAATTAAATTATTTTAGGGTTCGAAATAACTAAACTTTTTTTTGTGCTTGTCGTATAGTAAAACTGTTTTGTTTCAATATTTGAGAAAGAACACACTAACCCCCCGCGATGATGTGAATCAATATAGGTTTCAGCACGCCAATAAGATAAATAAATTAAATGAATAAATTTTTTTTAAAAAACGATTGAAAATTCCACGAACAAAACGAAATCACTGTTATTAATAATTCACAATCAAAGTTCCAAAAACTTTTGACGACACGCATAATGAATAGTTAATAATATTAGCTACACCTAATTTATACCACCTACCTATTATTTAGTATAATATTTAAAGAAATAATTAGTGTTCGTAGAACTGTTTCCAAAGTCATTTTTATATAATAATATAATACATAAAAACGACACGAATTATATTTTATATATTTTATTTTATTTACAAATCCGTGGTCAATCGAACTTTTTGGACTGTGACACGGTGATAACTAACACGCAATTCGGAATAATTAAATATTTAAAACTGTCATTCGTCAGTCATTTTCATGGTTGTTTACCTCGTCAAAAACATTCCAACCCCAATAAACGATTCACCAACTACAAATACGAACCACATTTCCATGTATAATAATAATACACAGTGGCTGTCGTTTTTCGAAACGTCATAATTAAGTTCACACGAACTGTGTTTAACACACGTGAGATTCGCATACCATTCTCAACATATGAACTTTTAAAAAGCGTTCCAAAAAAGTCAAGAAATTTTTTGAATTCAAAACAATATGTAATATGTATGCAAGATTTTTATATTCAAATAAACTATTATTAATGCAGATTGATTTTTAAATTTAATATGTAATTGGTTCATTTGTACCTTATTAAAATAGAAATAATTTGTACTATTCTTTCAAGACTCACACGCCTTTATACTATATTGAATTTCAGTCAATTAATTGAATATTTGATTTTATTTATGCTGGTCTATTATACTATAGATGGTGGTTGATAATTCATTAAGGAGACACAAACATAAACTAAGCGAAAATCAAATTTTTACAACTTATGAATTTGCATTTAGTTACTCATTAAATAATAGTTTTAAGGTATTTTCCTGATGGATTATAATTAAACATTTTGTATTACAATATATTTGGCAATGCGTTCAATTAAATTGTTAAAATATATCAAACTTGTGATATAAAATTGTAGGTGAATAAATTTTGATAGGTTTATATGCATCCCCAATGTAATAAAGAGGAGATAAAAATGATTCAGGGATGAACAAATATTTCTCCCCCCTCCCCCCCCCCAGATAACACAACTGTCTAGGTATGGCACTCGTCGTATCTTGAGTATAGACTAAGGGCCTGTGTGTGCAGGGGGGGAGGAGGATGTCGCAATGCGTGCTTGCAGCGTTCGCCCGAGCGGAATGACTATTATACACAGCACACTTTATAATAATTATTGTGACGGACTACGGCGCCGGGAAAGACCGAGTAACGTACATAATATTATAATGCGTATAATAATTGACATCGTATATAGCTCACGTCCTAGGAGAGAATTAACGCCGCCGCCGCCGCCGCCGCCGCCGCCGCCGCCGTATACCGTATTACGGGTTTTATATAATTTTTGTTTCTATAGTTTATTTTTCCATCGAGTAAACGACTCGCGTCTGTTGTTGCACACGTGAATGCACCGGCGGTCTAATTGGACTAAATCGGTCCTGACGATTTACAAGAAAAAAAATGCCATTTCCCGCTTGCTCGTCGGCGTTCGAACACACGCACGGACGCAATTATATATGTATATATATACATACATTACGAGTACAACGGCTACACTACAGCGGCCGGGGAAACTAAAATATAACGAACTCGCGCGCATATAGTGGGTGTCTCGACGAATTTGTCTTGAGGAGAGCCGTTTACTGCAGTATGTGTAGTGGTTTATTTACTAAGCACTTTTTAACTCGTGTACGTGAAAAACTTCTGAACGGTCGTTTTCAAATATTACAGTCTGCAGGCCCAGATTTAGGCAAGTGCATGTGCACTGGACACGAACATATATAATAGGAGCCCCCCGAAATTTGACTCATTTCCTTAAATGTAACAAACATATGGATAAATAAACGTTTGTTAAATATTAGACTTTAATAAAACGTTAACAATTTTAATAAGTCCATTTATACTATTTGTAGTGAGCTATAACGTGTTAATGCTTAAAATCAATGTCTGAACCAACGGGAAATTGATTATTTTATCGTCGTGTATTCATATAAAATCTATGTGCCTGTGCCGGAAAAAAGATAAATCATATTGACATAACATATTAATCACATTAAGACTTATTAAAAATGATTTCTTTACAATATATAGTTTAAATTTACAATAATTTTGGAGGTACTAAAATGTTGATGCATATAATGTTATGTGCTAAGGACCCAATAAAAAAACTTAAGCCATTGGCCTTAATTTATTTTGATTGGGTTTTTTTGCACCCCGAATACACCTAGTTCATGTGAACGGCTTAAAAACATCAAATCACTATATTGTTATTGTTACATTTTACAGATATATGCTTTTACGTTCATGATTAGAGCTTATAAATGAGGTAGGTATAAGGACTAAGGAGAGAAAGTTATCGAGAATACCCCGATACACCCTGTATATACACAACGTATGCTGTGAGAGGACTGAGGCGGCAGTGAGTCTCGTATAGCTTCTGTTTAGAAACGACACCTCCGTGATAAATCGCGAACTGTTTCTCGCTCTCTCCCCTTGATCCAAATCAAAAGCCAAAACGGTACTCGCGGATGTGGAACGAACGTATGCGAAGTACCACCAGCTATATAATTATATGGAATGGGACGGTGAGTTTTCCAACTCACATTGAACCCTTGAACTAGTTCGAGAAAAAAGTTCAGATTTAAACTCAAACATATTCTCGAACAGTTCGAATAGTTTGAACATGTCAATCAAGTTCAATATGTGTTTGAGTGTCGACTTAGCTATCATAGCAAATTACTTATAAAACATTTTTACTACCTTCTAAGATTATTTGTATATAATAATATTTTAAAATATTCATTAGGTATAACAATTTATTTAAAAGTTCGACCAAGTTCTAAAGTTTGAAAAGAGTTAAAATAAGATTCAAGTTTGAAAAATTCATAATTATAGGCTATCGTTTTATGTACATAACTACCTACCAATATCAATAAGTGTTACTGCGTGATGTCCAGGGCGGAAGGTTGGGCAGTCGTCGTTCGACCGCGTACAATATGCATTATTATAATATTGTTATTATTTGAAGGGACGTTTTCAAATCGATGATGAATGACAAACTATATAAAAATTGTTATGGCAAAAGTTCAAAATCCGTTATTTTGTTGAACTTTTCGTCATCATATACGAGACACTTCATTAGTCATTACTCATTGTATATACTATAGGTACGATATGGTTCTACATCGTGTCACACCATCGTCGTATTCATAGATTCGTACATATATACCGTTTTAAGTCGTAAATATTTGTAGGCACTATTCGTTGGACCTTTCGAAATCGGTTTGTTTATATTTTCATCCCCCGAGACGAATGATCTTAAATTGTAACATAACAATCGATTTTAGGTTAATAATCTGTCGTGTTCTAAGAAAATTAAAATGTATAAACGGAGCATAGTCTTGCTGCCGTAGAATTTGAATCGCTGAGACTCGAATTTTTGAGAGATAAAAAATTGATTTACAACAAATATAGTAAACCGATATTTATATTCGCGCTACTCGACGCTTACATAGTTTTAGAAATTATAATGTTTACTAGAGATATGATCATGTTAATAAGAGGTGCACAAAAGACCATCGAGTGTCATCAATTGTTTGATGCATAATGATATTTTAATTATGTGTGGAGAGATTAATTAACTTGCGCTACTTACTTCAATTCACATAATATAATATAATATAATATGGGTATTAATTTTCAAGTATACGTACTTAATATTTAGTGTGTATTATTTATGTAAGTCACACTTAATTCGGCCACCACAGAAATTATTAGATATTATCGGAAATTAAAAATGTCTGGCATGTAACGTATAGAATTTCTAATGGATTTTTGACAAAGCTTGTACAATTTTATTTTACAATATCTAACTGTGAAAATATATTTCGGGCTCATTGCCACTGTATAACATCATATTATGTGAATAACATTTACTAATTCTCACCTACCTTAGCCAAGTGGTCCTGTACACGGGGTTATAAACGATTATAATAAGGACAACTACATTAATAACCAAAAGTATATAAATAAACGACCTCTAAATACTAAACTCATATTGTATTATGTATGGCGATAGCTGATGGTATATTACATATAAGGAAATTCATGTTTTACGCATAGGGATTTAACCGCTACTGCAGTTAGTAACTATGAGCTATATGTTATAACTCGCAAACCTAATTATAATAATATAAATATATATATATATATATATATATATTATTATAATATTATCATAATAATTATCTTAATATGTTATATATTATTATAAATTATAATTTTGTACAGATAGTAGGCACAACACCTAGTAAACCGCGATAATGAAAATAGGTAAAAATAAATATTTGACCACTGAACTGTAAACTGCGAATACGAATCTAATGCATTATTGCGTGTCTATTTGTCTATGCAAGTGCCAACCCGTGCTGTTACGAGTGTGACAAGCGTGTACAACGTTGTATTATATTAACAACTAACAAGCATTACAATTTATAATAAGTGATTACATCTTCAACTATAATTCGTCTTCGTTGTGCTATTAAACTATGTTTACTCACCAATTGGTTCTGGTAAGCGGTGACGGCCGTGAACGTCGTTTCCGGATACACGAACGTCTTGTACTCTTCGGCTTCTAAGTCCACAACGGAATGTCCGCCTGTTGACTCGCTGTTTCTCTTCACCAGGTGTATGCGCGGCTGATACTTGTGCATCGAGTTCAACACCAACTATGGCCACAATTTTTTATTTATTAGTATCATCATAGACATTACCCTCGTTCAGTTATCATTACTAAATGAAAGTTAAGTAAGTAAGAAGTATGATTATTTCGCTGGCGAGGTGGGTCAACGAGTAATCGATTGTCGATTCCTTTAGATCGAGAGTAAAAAAAATAACTGAAATCAAAATCGAGTTTACGACAAAGAATTCACAAATTCAATTAATTTAGGTAATTTTTGGTTCTATAAATAATATTGTAGGTATATAACTGAAGCATCATTTGTGATGATTGATGACCAAGCAAGTTAATTAACAATAATTTAGTTTCCAATATATTGATAGCAAATATAATTCAATGTAATCAGGTAACCTTGCTAGAAAAAAATGTGGGTTCCGGGTTAAGATTTTGTCTAATATGACACCGATATATTTTATAATATATAAATGACTGAAGAATGTCTTCACTCTTGAAATTATGGTAGAATGGACTTTACAACGACATACAGAACTCTGTACTCAGAATTTGCCGATTTCACTTACACCATAGTTGGTTTCGTAAAATACAAAGTAGTAAACATTGTATTGAAACATTACACCAAGAAAACAGATATAGGTGGTTAGGTTCAACATTTTTTTGGCTTGAGTTTTTTTATCGTCTGACGAGGTTGAATGTGGTTTTGTTGAGCTGTCTACAGCGAGCTCAAACTTACTATTGTGAAGGGAAATATTAAGCGCGAACGTTGTATGGATTTACGCCCTAAAGTGTTCTGTTTTGGGTAAATGCACTCAAACGTATCTCCTCCGACAGAATATGACCAAAAACCTGCTTACCCATTAACAACGGCTGTTTTCGACGGTCAATCTACTTCTACTACTCTCTTTTTTCGATTTAATCGCGGTAATCGCGTATAGAAGTTACGTGAATGGAAAAAAACCGTACAAGCTCAAATGAGGGTAAGCATACCTAATAAGAGCCATCAATTAGAACCGGAACTGCTAAAGCACCATTCTATATCCGTTCGTATAATAGTATATAATATTATAATGTATGCAGTTATAATCGACACGCGCGCGTTTGGCATAAAAAACACGATTAGAGTCGTAGTTATTGGGACATTAATAAATAACATCATATTGTGACTCGAAAAAAAAACACGCTGCGCTTCTGTTACGCACACACTTCTCTGTTGTACACATTGTAATATTGCATTATAATATTATTATTATGTGTGCGATGTTTGTTTAACGCAACGGAGGGCGTCCGTGCGGATTAAAACCTCCCTCTGCGGCTAATTTCACGGGCGCGGTGACTAACTGCAGCTCTCCTGCTCACTTAATGGCATATGCGGTTTCGTTTAGACGTCGTACGGATACGACAACAATATACAATAAAATCATGATATGTCACACTAAAAAACGGTCGGATTGAATAATATTAATAATAACAATAAAATAATAATATATAAAGTGATATTTTAATCGCTCGGGCGAGCCGTTTATAATCGTATTTTGCATAATATTAAAATATGATATATCGATGTAAATATACAAACGCCGTCGAGAGGGGAATAACGGCGTATTATTGTTTTTGTTTATTTCGGACCACCGCGAAACCGATAAATTCAAATGGTGAATAATTAACGTGGACGGAAAATATCGCCTACTCAGATTATATTATTGCGTAATCGCTAATTACTTAAAATTTTTTTCAATCTTTATCGTTGGTGGTAAGTGATTCAATACGAAAATAATTGTTTTAGGTATAACATAAGTGGCACTTTTTAGAAACTCATGTGGGTGCAAACGACCATGAGGATTGACCCATCTGTGGGGGGGGGGGGGCGTTACCCATATTACCCTATTTCTACAACAAAACAGATAATAAACAGTTGAATTTTTATTTAAAAAATTTGTGAAGCACAAGGTATTTACTTTTGCTCTGCATTAATTTTCAAGCTTTTTGGCCAGTGATAACTTTTTCCATCAAAAATTATTGAAATAAGTTAATTTAAATCAAACATTTTTCATGGTTATAAATCACTCAAAAAGTATCAAATTATTTTGAAAATGTTGTCATATATTATATGAAAAATTTTAATAAACATTTGGTGAAATATTCTGTAAATAATGATAGTTAAATAATAAATACAATTTAATTTAACGTCCTTTTTTTGATGAGTTATATAAAATATTGACTAAAAACGTTGCTCTTTTTGTTAAAATAGCAATTGAGCTGTGGGTGCAAAATTATACTTTGCCTCCTGCCCCCCCCTCAAAACAATTTTCGTTAGTGCAACTGCACCCTCGTGTAACCCCCAGATGCCACCACTGAGGTATAATTTATTATTTTGACAACGTCTATAAAAGGTATAAATTAATATGAACAGTTTAAGGAAAATATGGGTTGATCTCAAAATCACCTGTATCGTTATTCATTTTTTGGTTTTAAGCTTTCTTCGGCCGATTTCGAAAATAATAAACATGCACGTCTAGCCATTGCATTTTGACATTAATGGTTTTATAATAATATCATTATTAGCAATAATAATAATTATTATTATTACTATTGTATAGGTGTACATAGGTACTCACGTGTCCGTGCTTGTCCATCTCGTTATTAGTGAGCTTGACCTTTTCGAAGGACACGACCTGCTTGCGCAGCTGATCGCCCGTGAACGGCGAGTCGGGGTGCGTGTACAGCCTGTGTGGGGCAGGCGGATCCGCCTTGCCGGCCACCAGCCACGATGACCGGTGGTACGCGTAACGGTAACGCTTGTTGTCCACCGGTACGATGTCCATGAGCACCGCGTACCGCTGGTCCGCCCGCAACCCCGTGAACGACACCCGGACGGTCGGGAACATCCTCCTGTACAACGAAATGCAAATTAATTATTATGTATAGTTATGAATACAAATGTCGTAAAAAGCAAGTATGCATGACGATTTACAAGCCATGATCTTCACCCACCCTATTTTTCTTTCGATAATGAGTCTATTCGAATTCTGACTGATTGCCATTTTACGCATAGGTACTTAAAGACCATATTTTCAATTGGGTTTAAAATGTAATTTAAGAATTAAATAGTATCATGTGAAGACGCCAACTCCTTTTTTCAAAAGAGGATCAACCTTTTTCACTTTACCTAGTACCTACCTAAATTGTTAATCAGATGATTATTATTTTTTAATGTGGACTCAGCTATATTGACAGCGACTATGAGTTAAGAAACCGTAAACATAAAATATAATTTAATATTAATATTAGTTTTAATATTTAATCTAGTCAGTGATGTACCCAATATTTAGTACACAGTTACTCTAGTACGGTCTAGCACGGGTTACATTATAAACATATAATATACAAAATAATAAATGGGTTAATCAAACAATGGACATATTTGATTAAAAATGTTTACATTGAATTACACATCGATATGATGTAATCTTGAATAAATTAGAGATGAGGAAAATTGAAAAATCTGATACCTATATCAGCCATATGATCATTTAAATCTGCTATGATGCATTTGCAGCTTTGTGAGCGATCAAGGCACTATATATAGGTACCCTATAAATAAGATCAGTACATAGTTTATTTACTGAAAATCGCTGTACTTTTACATACATATAGTATAGGTATATAATTACAAAGAGAGACGTATATATATATATTATAATATAATGCGCACACGGCAGTTGCGGCATAACAATAGATCGCGCGGTTCGAGAGCCATGATGGAGCCACGGCGCGGGGTGAGGGAGAGATGGATTGGCGCGAAATAGAATGGAGTTCTAAAGCCAGTGGTGACGAAACAGGGGACGACGATGGAAAAAGGGCGTACATAAGTCCCCTGAGCAGCAACCACCGTGTGTGATATATATGTTATGAGTGCGTGCGTGAGATACGTAATACATAATATTATATTCGCTTACCTAGACGAGTATATATAATATAATATATATATATTACATACAATGTATATACAGAAAACCGCGAGCGGGTAAGACCGGACGAAGCAGCGTCACAACTACATATAATGTATACCTATATACAACACAATATTATAATGTTTTGTGTGTGTGTGTGTGTGTGTGTGTCTGCGACCGCAGCAGAAGTTAAATTGAATTCCCGGCCGCCCACGTTTCGTTTCCAAAACGCTGACAGGCCCCAAAGCCGGACGCGTACAATTTGTGCGAAATCCCTAGTCTTATAATATCGTCGTACATAACAATATTATATGTGGACACGTGTGCATCACGTATTGTCCGCCTGCAAGCGCCTCCGCTGCGCAGAGGACGAAGTAATAATAATATATGATATAATTTCCATGGAAAACCGCTTACGAGGACAAGGTCGGCGGCGAGTGGGGATAAAAAAAAAACGACATTTCCACCCCGGATCGGACGTCCGGAGCGCTCGTAATATAGTATGATGTGTGTACCAACGATATGTTTTTGTATATTATACTATAATATTATAATAATATCATAACCGTCCCGACCCGTTATATTGTTCTCCCTCGCCGAGAGGATGACGTATTACAGCCATCGCCGGCACGGTCCTCATTGCTTAGGACCTATACCTATTCATATAATATACTCTGCGCACAATAATAAAAGTCACTGTTTGCGACCGATGCGCATTTCAATAATAAAGGCCGTTATGCTATCTTGCTATCTGCACGGTGCTCTGGTCTCAGCGATGTTTACCGTACCGTAACGATTGAAAGACGATTGTCCGTTATATATTTTAATATATCTCTACCTATATAACCTATGAATTATTACAAGTTATTTTGATATATTAAATCGCTGTATAAAGGTACCTATATTAACTGACAAATAACCTGACGATCGAGGGATCACCGCAACGTTTTTTTATAACAGGAAATTTCAACGAAGTGTTTAAAAAATTCTAATATTTTGAAATAAGTCATCTAACAAGTGGTCCCTTGTACGTCACTTGTGTGGTTGGAGATTGTTGAATGAATAAGAAAGAATATTATGGAAAAATCATAATATTTAACTCGTGGAGACGTAGATTCAGATTGGCTATTGATATATTTTACGTTGTGATCTTAGAGCTAAGCTATTTCAAAAAAAAAAAAAAAATACTACCTACCATAATTTACTTTTCTAAAGTTGTGTTGTCTTTTATTTTCATAATAGGTGTTTAATCTGTCAGAGGTTTTAATTTCAAATTTTTGTGTAAGATAAAACACAGCTAAGCCATCAGAAAGTCTTCAAAAGTCTTGAGTTATTTATATATTACATCTTTGATCCTAAACGACCAGAAAAAAAACATAATAACATCGTATAATAAAGCGATCGTAATTAATATTGTCTGGTTTTCATTACATTTTTTATTTGTCGGGCCTGTATCGGTCGGCATTAACATAATGATGACATTACATAAATTAAGTGTCTTTAAAACAAACTACCAAACACCAAAAACGACCCAAAACGATGTTGTTTTTTTTTTATCTAATTTTTTATCTGGACAAAATACTTCTTATCTTCACTCCGTAAAAATATAATGTAACCGTCTTTACTCAAACACATTCTGGTTTCGTTATCTTAATGTTTGTTCGGAAAAAAACACTTATCCGCAGTAGGGTGAACACCGCATTAATGAGTTGTGTATTTAATATCTCGACTGACGGACATCTGCAACCGAATTTCACAGACCCTCCAGAGTTTAGTACCGGTATTTAAAGGTCGGACATTGACAACGAAATGAGTTACTCAATTTTGAGAACTCGTCTTATCCACGAATAACTTTTATATTTTGTTTTTTATGTTTTGACTTATAATTTTATAAATAATTAAGATACTACAATTAATAGCAAAACTTAATTATGAATGTAACGCTGCGAATAACTGTTAGTGCATTTTAGAAAGTGAATAAAGAAATAAAAAATATAAAAAAACATAAAAAAAATTCGGATAGAATTATATTTTTAAAACTGCAGACACGTGGTTTTTATTCAAATTCGAATATAGCCTCTCTGCGTCTCTCGTCCGAAAAGTGTTTAAACTTAATAGATGTGCTTCATCAAAAGATATTATGTATAGGACACATAATATAGTAGGACATCCACATAATATAGAGACGACGCATAATAACACACACAGACGTCGTGTGGTGTAACATATTCTGGGCGACTTCAACAACGGAAACGTGGCTTCTTATAAAGCGTCATTTTCGTGGTCAGTGCCTTCCACATATTATAATAGGAGCACGTAAAATAATGATAATTATTAGTTCGTTCGCGAAACGGAAGGTATGGAATTTGGAGTAAAAAAAATTACTATTTTGCACTACGCGTGAACCACGCCGCAACAACAACAACAGAAATAATATAATAACGAAGAACGAAATTCTGTAATTCCGCATAGTGTTTATCGTTTTCATGCTATACATATTATTGTACTATAATATTAATATAATAACTAATAAGCATATACATGAAATGTGAATTATTATACTGAAATAACTTATAAGAGGGCTTTGCATCATCCACAGTGCACAAATCGTGAGGTGGTATCTTTTTGAACTCGAGCACGGAGAGTCCAAAAGTGAACTAATTATTGGTCTGAGCCGTAACTCGAACAAACCAAGTTTGATAGGTACAAAAAAATCAGACCGATAAATTAATTATGACTATCGTCCCCAAACTTTCTATCTTCTTACAATCGTGATATAGGGCGTGATAATATGAATATGATGAATAGGTTACGCGCGAGATTTAAAATTGACAGAAACATCATACCTATTGGACTTAAGGCCAAAACACAATTCAAAGATTTGTACAGGCCCCCCGAGACCCCATTTTCCCCCACCCGCTTGCAGCGACGGTGACTATAATAATAATATATTATAATCGGTCTGACCGATTCTCGGCCGATGTTAATTTTATTTTTTCGCTCAGGTCTATCCACCGCATAATTTATGTACCTGTAGGTGGTGGTGGCGTACAGGTTATGTATACATTCAGTATTAAATATTATATACGTGTGTCACACGGAGGAAATCTAGCGCGCGTATATTATAATAATAATATTACACGTATGTGTAAATAGGTACAGTATATTTACGTTGTTCGACGACCCACCTCGTTCCCACCCGCTGATTCTTAAAAACCGAATCCACGTAAGAAATATTATGACCGTGTGGTTTGTTGTGGTTGTTATAATATTATTATTATTTCGAGTGATTCCGGACGGAACGCGACGAGGGAGCTCGCAGGAGGCGTTATTCGTGTGGCGTGTCGTAATCGTAAAAACGACCGCTCCGGTTATGAATCAAACGCACCACACACGAGGTGGCTAAAAACCTGTTTTAACACATTTTTGTTTGTCTCCCCCGTCTCTCTCGCCACAAATTTAGCAAATGCTCATTTACATGTTTATACACCGCACCGCGTGCGACAAGACTAAAATAATAGTAATAATAATAATACGATATCCTTTCGAGCGAGATCACTATCGAATCTGATAACAATAAATAATTGGGCAAGGCCTTATAATGACCGAATTTTTGTGGCTATAACGAGGGATTCCGAAATAATAATAATTTTCCGGATTCATAACATAATTTATAGACACGTGGGCACACGACGACGTACTGACAGATATCGTCGTCGTAATATAATAACATAATAACACACAGGGCTGCTGTGGTATTGTCTGCACTCGCAAGCTAAACATTGGCCGAACGTCGGTCGCTCGAGTACTACAGTATCACAAATTCCTATAGAAGCGCACCCAACAGGAAGCTATCGGATACTGCCTTAGACGGAAGTCGCATTCGTCTGCAGGTCGGTCAAAACGTTTCCCGGAAAAGAAACCATCATACAGACCATC